ACAATTTTTAAAATATTTTTGATTATAGTATAGAATCACAAAATACTAATTTCATTTATGTCGATGAAATGGTGTCTATGAGAAAAGGTCATATTTATATTGTGTCTCCTTTCTGTTCAATATTTTAACAATTTTAGAAGGAAATAAAAGTAAATAAAACTGTTAAAATACTTGTGTTATGAAATTTTTTGATGGTTTTGCATCCCCTCCCCAGTGTTGCTTAAGTTAAAAAAGAAAACTAGGAAAATTAATTTGAAAACATATATCCTTTAGGCCTACATGCACTGTAATTTGAAAGAAAATGGAGTAGGATAAAGCAGTTTTATTACCTATTTTGAGGCATTCCTATATCACTGAATTTATCAGCTGGATATTCAGTTCAAATATCACATTAACTTCTCTTCCCCTTTATTCTATTTCTGCTTTTTAAAATCAGAAACAAACCATTGCTTGCTGAAAATGGATGTTTTTCTTAGCCTACGTTAATTTTCGTGGATTTGATATTTGTTGAGCTATTTTTAGTCCTATTTGAACGGCCATAACTTAAAGTTCTTTCTCTTTCAAGCAAAAAAATGCATTTTGACGTTCTGATTAGCAAAATTAAGCAAAAAATGGTATTGATTAGAAGACTGCATAGGTCTCAGAGTGAAGAAAGAACTAAGGTCTCTAAGACAGCTGTCAGATGACCCAACTCTAGCCACCTTTCTTCACTTTTGTGAATGGAGTTCATTTGGAATGTGATCCCAGAGAGCAGTTGTGAAGGACAAAAGTAGTAAAATAGGGAGAGCGGGAGAGGCAATGTATTGTCAAGTTGGCCACTGCTACAAGCAGCCAGTTGCTTAACCACACAGAATCTTCTGAGAAGCCTTATGAAATATATCCCAAACCATCTAGAAGGGTCCAGAATAAAGGAGAAAACATTTATTCATGAGCTCCTATTGCCAATTCCTGGAGACTTGTCCTTTGAAGTTCTAAGTCCCCTGTACTTGCACATCTCTTGCTGTACTAGGGCAGGAAGCAAAAGGTGCGTGGTGGGCCCTGGGGCGTGGATCATCAGGTTGCCCTTGTGCAGAGTCAGTAGCTGTGGTATTTGAAGGGGCACACAACAGATGTCCAACACAGGCTTTTATTAAAAGATCTCATTAAATAGTACTATCTTGGTGTCCATTAAAAACAAACAAACAAACTTGTATCTTCTCAGAATTGCAAGCAATTTAAGATTTATCTATTCTAATCTTTCACTGTTGCTTATCCTTATTTTCGGTGTCTTGATCTCCAACTCTTCCTTTCATCCTTTATTCTGAACAGGCCAGTCTCTTCACCCTTCCTGGAGAATGCCATTTTTCATTTATACCTCCATACCTTTAAGTTCCACAATTTAAAATGCTTCTATTCATTTTAAGAACCCCTAAAAAGCTGCTTTGGGGACCTTCCAGTGATAGCCTGTGTGAAAAGTGTGGTCTAGTGGTAGCATTAGTATACAGTAATGCTTTTAATTCTCTCTCATCCTCTTAGTTGCTAGTAAATTCGAAATTTAAACGATATTGCTGGTTTTCTTTTTGTTTTTTATGGACATACAGAAAGTGAAATGAAATTGAGGAAAATATAATGGTAAAGAATGATGTGGTGGCATATACTGTAAGTGTATCAGTTCCAAAATACATTTATTGTCCTCAGATAGATAACAATTGCTTCATTGTTCTCAACTGTATTTCAAAACAGTGAACATATGTAGTCCCCAAAGGCGTAAATTGAAATATATTCCATTAAAAAAAATCACAAATTAATTTTCTTCTTTTACTTTTTTTTAATTATGGAAAAATATATATAACAAAACATTTATTGTTTTAATAGTTTTTACATGTACAATTTAGTGACGTTAATTAATTTCATCATGTTGTGCAGCCATCACCATTATCAGTTTTCAGATTTTTCCATCACCCTTAAGAGAATCTCAGTGGACCCTAAGGAATGGCTATCAGCCTGCCTGCCTCGTACCCCCTAGTAACCACTAATAAACGTTGATCTCTATACCTTTGCTTATTCTATATATTTCATGTAAGTGAGATTATATAACATTTGTCCTTTTGTGTCTGACATATTTCATTCTGCATAATGTTTTCAAGGTTCATTCATGTCCTAGC